GGGGGGGGGATGTTTCTGCTGCGCTTTTGTCTTCGACATTTTTCCGAGGTTTTGCCACTTCAAGAAGGGTGCCCTTGCCCGATCCTTTGCTCTGGAGCCCTTCACCTCGGTGACAGGTGACAGGTTTGGTGCAACAATTTCACATATTTGGAGAAAATGTTGTAGAAACTTAGGTTTATGCATAAAATACTAGTGCTCTTTCTAGCACATATTTGGAGAAAATGTTGTAGAAACTTACTTGGGTTTATGCATAAAATACTAGTGCTCTTTTCTAGCACAGGAGCTGAGCCCAGCAGTAAAATCAGTGGTCTTCATCTGTTTCTTTCTAGGCAGTCTTGCCATCCCTTTTACATTTGTTTAACCTTGAGCTTCTACTTTGTTTCTTGCAAGTACAAAACAGGTTTTCAAATGACGGGGTTCACAATCCTTAAGCCTATTAGTGTCACCAGGTAGGTGTAGGTTGAATGTTATTATGCAGACCTATGTTATTCCCTGGCTTCAGAGGAAAGTACTTACTTTTCTCTTCAAGGGCTGCTTGTGCAGTGCTGGTGGCAGTGCAGTTGTGGTTTTATTTGGGTGTGCTAGATGTGCTAAATGCACTCCTGGGCTGCTGTGGAAGAAATGATAAGACAACTCACAGGTTGGTTTAAATTTGATTCAGGAGAGAAATTATTGTAACCATACACGAAGAACTCGTGGAAAGCCTAAAAGCATCAACAACTGAGCAATAGAAAACATGTAGAAGATGAAACATAGCTCCTGCACAGGTCAGAAAAGGCTATTTCCTCAGCTCAGTTGCTTAGCTAGAGGCACACTCACCTGATGCACAAAGCTGTGTGTCCTTAAGAGCTGAAGGATCTTTGCACAAGAAGAATTCAATTTAACAGCATTGCTGGGGTTATAGACCTTGCATCACTGTCCATCTGGATGATTTTAGAGCTTTGCAGCTGTAGATTCACAGACCTTACACTGTTAACAAGTAACAGACTGCAGTAAACTTAGGAATTGTCAAAATGCCTCAAACGGGCTGCTTTGCCTTTGGCAAATGCTGATCTGCTGATATCAGAAGTTCCCTTGGGATTATTTCAGTTTCAGTCTTGTGGGTTTTGTGATTGTTTGTTGTTGTCATTTCCTGCAGGGATTTAAATACAGCCATTTTGTTGAAGCAGGAAGATTTATGTTCTACCTTGTATGTCAAACGTAGCAATATAGAAGCAAAACACTGCGTCCTCAGTGGTCATAGATTAGCATCTTCAGAAGCTATGCAGAAAGTTATTGTCTTTATTATTCAAACTGTGCCTTAGTAGGAAAGGTCTTTTGCATTTGACCAGCAGTCTGCTCATGTAAAAGGACAAAACAAGTTTTGCAAGAGAAAAATGTTACATAAGCACACAATTTTTTCCAGTCCTCACCAGAAGTTTGGCTCAGTAACGAGTGACTTTTGGTACCTTCTTTTCAGAGCCTGTTGAATGATTCAGCCTCAGTGCAAAGAATATCAGAACTCTTTAGGAATTTAAACCCACTGTTTCGAAGGGAGATTTCTAACAATGCTTGCTTAAGCTTGTGAACAGGGATCTGGCCTGACACCAAAACATTTGAGTTTTGAGTTGATTTTTTGACGTTGTACTTTTTTTTTCTATTGGAGGCTATCTACATACATTTCTGATGATCACAGGTGGTATAGTCATCTTTGGTTGTCCCAAATAACTCTGTCCAAGATACCAGGGGATCACAAACCATTGTGTTTGAGAGAAACATGCTCTGAGTTACTGACACTAGCATCACCTTAAGATACTAATATAAAAGAAAATGAAAAGATAATATTAAGGACTGAAGTCATTAGAAGCAGTATGCCCTTGCTGTGTGTGTATAAGTCTATGAGGTTCAATTGTCCACCATCACCTACAGTTCAGCTTAAGGTAATAATGATCTTCTGAAAACTACAGTGAAGGAAGGAACTGAGAAATTCAGGAATGGTGCAGCTTTACAGTAAAAATTACTGTAATGGCACATTCATAGGAATTTGATAATGCAATTTATGTATATAAAAACAAGAGTGAGAAATAAACCATACAATTAGAAACATGTAGATAAGATTAACGTTATGGTTTAATGAGATAATTGGTAATTTTTTTTGAGCAAGTACCCATACAAATGTATGAGAAAACATCATTTGGGCCATAAGGATACTCTGTAAGACATTGCCACAGATGTCAGCCAGTCCAGGCTATTAGGAGATTAACATAAAGTCTGAGAAAAAAATGTGTTTTCAATAGAGATTAGAAACTGAGAACTTGTGCAGAAAACTGGTTACACACTTCAGGGAAGAAGGTTCTTGCACCGAAAGTAAGATGACTGAAGAATAAAGTAGTTGAGAACTGGTGATATTTCACTGAAAGAAATGAGTGGCTGAGGAAAACATGATTTATGGTATAAACAAAAGCAGGTAGAGAAGAAGAGCATTTTTGTCCATCCCTTTTTCTTATACTTGTATCGCATTTGTACACATGCATGGATTTCTCTGTTCTTTGTGACTAAGAGTCACGATGCCCAAGACCCTATACATCCCATATGAGGTTTAGTAGAAATGGGGATGATTTAGGGCTCTGGAAGGAAAGAATTACATTGAATTTAACCCCATGGTTCTTTATGTTCTAGTTCACAACTGCTTTCCTGTTTGGGAGAGTCTGGAAATGTTCCATGCACTAATGGCTATGAGTGCATAAATGGACCTGACTGTGGCTCTTGCCTTTCAGACATCACACAAAACTGCTCAAGCCAGTTTTATCTCTTTTCTTCAGACCTAAGCTGCTTCTGCCTTTCATAACTAGTTTGGGTAATTTCTAGCAGAAAGATATGTGAGATGCTTAGTAGGGTAATATGATCTTAAAAATCAATCTGTAGTCTAAATTATTACAAAGACAAATTTGTCTAAATAGCTGTATATATTGAGGAAATGTAAAGAAGCCAGAAGTTTTCATGGGTGGACTGGAGAATTGGAAGAAAACTGTTACTGTAGTCTAAACAAAGCTGTGATGAGATATGGAACATGGAAATATTTGGAAGACTCCTGAAATCCTTTGATACACTGGAATTTATATACTGGAAATAGGACCTGGGGAACTACAGACCTGTCAGTCTGACCTCAGTCCCAGGGAAGGTCATGGACCAAATCATCTTGAGTGCCAGCACACAGCAGTGTCAGCAAGTTTGCTGACAACACGAAACTGGGAGGAGTGGCTGACACTCCAGAAGGCTGTGCTGCCATTCAGTGAGACCTGGACAGCCTGGAGAGTTGGGTGGGGAAAAATTTAATGGAATTCAACAAGGACAAGTATAGGATCTTGCATCTGGGGAAGAACAGCCCCATGTACCAGTATAGGTTGGGGACTGACCTGTTGCTGAGTAACACAGCCAAAAGGTACCTGGGAGTCCTGGTGGACAGCAGGATGACCATGAGCCAGCACTGTGCCCTTGTGGCCAAGAAGGCCAATGCCATCCTGGGGTGTATCAGAAGGGGTGTGGTGAGTAGGTCAGAGAGGTTCTCCTTCCCCTCTACTCTGCCCTGGTGAGACCACATCTGGAATATTGTGTTCAGTTCTGGGCCTCTCAGTTCAAAAAGGACAGGGAACTGCTGGAGAGGGTCCAGCACAGGGCCACAAAGAAGATTGAGGGAGCTGGGTCTCTTTAGCTTGGAAAAGAGGAGACTGAGGGGTGACCTCATTAATGTTTATAAATATGTAAAGGGCTAGTGTGGGGAGGAAGGAGCCAGGCTCTGCTCAGTGACAGCCAATGACAGGACAAGGGGCAATGGGAGCAAGCTGGAGCATAGGAGGTTCAATCTGAACATAAGAAAAAACTTTTTCACTGTAAGGGTGACAGAGCACTAAACAGCCTGCCCAGAGAGGTTGTGGAGTCTCCTTCTCTGCAGACATTCAAAACCCACCTGGACGTGTTCCTGTGTGACCTGGTCTGGGTGATCCTGCTCTGGCAGGGGAGTTGGACTGGATGAGCTTTTGAGATCCCTTCCAACTCCTAATATTCTGTGATTCTTTGATATGCAGGACAACCAGAAGATTTGGCTTAGTCAGTATGGGTTCAGGAAGAGCAGGTCCTGCTTGACCAACGTGATCTCCTTTTATGACCGGGTAACCTGCTTAGTGGATGAGAGAAAAGCTGTGGACATTGTCTACCTGGATTTCAGTAAGGCCTTTGACACAGTTTCCCACAAAATCTTCATGGAGAAGCTGGCTGTGCATGGTTTGGATGGGCACACGCTTTGCTGATCACAGGCTAGTTGGCCAGGCTCAAAGAGTTGTGGTGAATCGAGTTAAATCCAGCTGGCAGCCAGACACAAGTGGTGTTAACCAGGGCTCACTACTGGGGTCAGTTCTGTTTAGTATCTCTATCAGCAACATGGATGAAGGAATCGAGTGCTCCCTCAGTAGGTTTGCAGATGACACTAAGTTGGGTGGGAGTTTTGATTTCCCTGAGGGTAGCAGCCTCTGCAGAGGGACCTGGACAGGCTGAATCCATGGGCTGAGGCCAATTGTATGAGCTTCAA